TGTATGCCTGTTGTAGAAATCTTTATAAAATATAACTTTTCTGTTTTGGGGTGCGGGGAGGGACATAGTAATGTACACAGAACAAAGCCAAGCCCACCATTCTTCCATGCCAGTATTTACGTTCATGCCAATCCCTACTTTTGCTTTGATGGAATTATGGGAAAGCTGTGCAAAAAGATTAACTATAGAAGAGGGAGTTACAGTGGAAGGAGATTTCTTCAGAACCCATTGCCTTTTCCTTGGATCCCACTCAGGAAAACTCAGTTCAACGGGAGCATTTCACCCTGGGGAACTTATGCCTCAGCACACTTGTGAATTACTGCTTCAGGATATAGCCCCTTTTTGTTTCCAACAGAGAACATAGACCTTCAGAACAGTCGATCGTAAACTGACATTCCCCCTACCATACTTCCTCTCCCTCAGATAGAATTGTAAGGCCTCAGAATTCAGGGAAACACAAAACCTCACAGCATTCTTACAATAGGGCAGAACTCACTGAATCTACCCTAATTGAATCAGATGTGTGTTAAAGAGGGATGACAGCCATTATGGTTAGGTCAAAAAAAATGAGTCCCAAACTCATCCGAGAAAAGGAAATCACGCCAGCAAGTTTCCAGATGAGCCCAGGGAAGAGCCCGCACCCAGCCTCAGTGAGACACAGAGGAGCCTTCCCAGCTGCTTTTCTAAAGAAGCCTGGGCAGGCTTGGAGTCGTCTTCCGTGTTGGCCAATATGAGTCTGGAACAGGGCCCCGTACCAGATGAAATATCCTGATCCTGCCAACTGCTTCTTGGCTTGGAGCAGCTGTGGGAGCAGCTGGTTTTACAACACACAGAGCAAGTCCTTGTTCTGAGCGAGGAGACTTCGACATTTTACAAAAAACTTAAAAGTTTGGGTCTTTATATACAACTACCTTCATGAGCTTTAACCTGAAGATTTGGTGTGTTGTACTTGCTATTCATGCATCTTGCAAATAACCAAATGATCTATAATAGTTTTATCCATGGGAAATCATCCTGCAACTATAAATGTCCAGTTTATACAATTCTTTGCTTTCAGTCAGAAACTGAAGTGTCACGAGATAAGAAATCAATTATCTCTGAACCAGTAAAATTAAAAATCAACTGAATTCCAAGAATCATAGATTGAATATAAAAATTTACTCGTGCTCTCTCCTGATATCCCAGTAGAGGGATTTTTTTAAAGGTATAAAACCACTAGAATAGTAAGAACATGAGAGAAGACAACAATAACAAAATTTCAGAAGCTGGAAAGTAGCAGAGCTGAATCTTAAATTGGCAGTGCAGAAAGCCAAGACTAATCCAATTTATACCACAGAGTTCCCAAAAGGCCCTGATGGCATTACTGGAAGTAGGTGACAATGGAATGGCTAAAATAAAGAGGATCTGTTGAGCTTTTAAGAAACAGCAAGATTCCACAGGCACCTACTCTGTAAAGCTAAGTGACTGAGTGTCTCCCATCCTGGCAAAAGATACGCATCTCTAGATGCATTCTCTGGAAAGTATAAAAAGTCTCTGGGTGAGGGACTCAGCACAACTTGTAGGGGCAGGGGTACTATAATGAAAACTAGGGTTGGATGAACACACGCATGCTGAGATGGTCACCCTACCCTTTTCTTCCACTTGTTTCTCAGAAAGATGGCAGCAATGCCCAGACCTTCCAGGCAGGTGATTGGAAGATCCTTGGATGATCTGAGTAACCAAAGAGAAACTGACACTGGTGGTCCCCTAATTAAAGAGCAATTAACAGCACCTCAGGTGAAGCTATTGCCAACAAGCCCCACTCACGTGTGCCAGGCTCAAATTAACTTTGCCCCCGTCCCCATTCTTGAATAGAGCAAAGAAGGACCACCTGACATCTGAGGAAAGATTCAAAAATGAAAGAATCCAAAACAAACAAAAATATCAATATGCACCATTAGAATACAATCAGCAGGATTCAAATTGTTGAAAACTCTGTATGACAAATGGCCCAGTTTCTTCAACATATAAATTGCATGGGAAAAAAGTGGGGGAGAGAAATGGGGGGGAACCTATAGAGTAAAAGAGACTTAAAACACATATCAACCAATTGCACTATACGGACCTATTTGAGTATTGGTTTGAACAATCCAATTGTTTTTTTATTGTTTTTATCAGAGCGCTTTAAATATTGGTTGGATATTTGATGATATTAAGAAACTTGTTAATCTTTTAGGTATGACATCTGGTTGTTTTAACAGTCCTTTTATTTTAGAGAAATATACTGAAATATTTATGGAGGAGAGTATATAATAGCTGGGATTTGCTTCAAGACATTCTGGGTGAGGAGCCTGACTGAACAAGCATGGCCATGGGATAAAGGACACAAGGACAGTTTTTATAATATTATTTTTATATATAATATTATATATACTATAATATTATATTATTATTATAATATGTTTGAAATTTTCCATAACAAAGAAAACCATCATTAGAAGGCAATGAAATCATAAAACAGAAACAAAATAATGTTAAAAATTTAAAGAATTTTTAAAAGCTCATGTAAATAACAAAAATAAAACATTCAGTAAATAATTAAGGAAAAAGTTGAGGACATATCCCAGAAGATACAAGTGAAAAATGACAGAAATGAGAATAAAGAAAAGAATAAAAAATTAGAGGACTAGTCCAAAATCTCAGTAACAGTCCCAGAAAGAGTGAAAAGAGGAAGAAGAAGGAATTCATCAACCAATAATATAAGAAAATTTCCCAAAATTGAAGAACACAAATTTCTAAAAGAAAAGAATGCACCAGCAGCCTGACGTGATCCAACAAGCTCACATCAAGACACATTGTAGTGAAACTGCAGAACACCAGGAGCCAAGAGATTTGACAAGTTTCCAGAAAAATCAAAAAACAAAAACAAACCCCCGCAAAACAAAATACCCTAGCTATATTTGAAAGATCAGGAATCAGAGGTATACAGGACTTCACAACAGAAAAAAACTAGAAAGCAATGAAGTAATACCTTCAAAATTCTGAAGGAAAATTATTGCCAATCTAGAGTTTCTATGTCCAACCAAACCACCAATCAAAGGTGAAAGGTAGAATAAAAACATTTTTCAGGCATGAAGGTCTCAAAAATTTTATTTCTATTTGTTATTTATCAACAACAAAAGCAAGAAAGCAAATACAGAAAGAGGAAGGAATGGAATAGAGGGAACAAGGGGCCTGGCAGAGAAGAGAGGTGAAGTGAATTCCCAGAATAGTGACAAATAAAGATATCAAAATACAAGTTACTCTCTATGTCTCAGTTCTCTTACCTGTGAATCAGGGAACTAACAACAGTACCTATCTCATAGACTTGGAAGGATTCAGCATAAAACAGAGTAGTCAGTACCTGGCACAACGTAAGAGCTGCAAGAGCTGACTTTACCCTATGTTAACACGTAACTACTTGACATATTACAATAACTAAAAAAAGAGAAATCAATGTAAAACACATTTCTGAACTGAACATATTTCTAGCTTTGGAATGACTAAAAATAGTCAATAGAACCATAGGATTCTGGAGGTTGGCAGGGTTCTGAGGTTTTTCAGCGTAATTTCCTTGTTTTAAAGAACAGGACATTGAAGTTCAGAGTGGCTATGTAGCTTAAGGCTACATAGGCATTTAGAAGAGGAGTTGGGACTAGAAGTCAGGTATTTCATGCCAATGCACTGAAAAATCAGAAGTGCAGCTATTCTTTGAGGGTCAGAGTTTCACACATACAAAAAAATCACAGTAGAAATATTTTGTCCTACTCAGTGGTTTTTCCCTAACACCTGGCACTTGGCTTAATACACACATCAAAAGGAAGGCCAAATAGAAAGATCTGCTTTGCAAGAAAGAGAGAAAGCTACAGTTGGGTTTACTACAGAGTTAGGTTGACCATAAGGAAGAAAATGCATTGCATTCTCCACACAGAGGTATTTTAATCCTAGGAAGGACATCTCTAGTGGGTTTACACACAACAGTGACAATATTAATCCATAGTGCTCTAGACCAATAAGAGGCAGCATGGATGGGCATTTCTGATCCCTGAGTAATGGGAATGGGAAGCAATGCACTTCCATCAGTTTTCTAAGTCTTTCTAAAGGAATACATACCGTTTTTAGAATTATTGGCCTTTTTGGTCACTGCAACCAAGAAAATGATCTTCTATCAAAGTGATCTGACAATGAGGACTACTGAGTAGGGCCAATGGGGAGCATGAGTGTAGTCAGGGGAGAAAAGGCAACTCCTGGGAGAAGGGAATTTCTTATCAAGCAAAGCACCACTGATACTCCTTTGAGGTTTGAGAGGGTGAGAATCAGGTTGGGTGAGAATTTTCCTGGTAGAAATCCTATGATCTGTTTTCAGCTTGTGCCAGCTGAAAACAAGCCCTCTGTACATTGGCACCAAGTTCCACTCAACAGTTTGAGATGAACTTATTTTAAAAGAAAACTTCCCATTTTCTTTTCACTGAATCTCAGAGGAAAAGTACATGCTAATTTCTCATCTTTAAAATACTGGCAACTTCTATGCTTCTTGAATATTTATTACAAACAAATTTGTAATAACTTTTGGATATAGTACATGTCTCATAGCAATCCAAATACCACAGTGGCGACTGGCTGGATTAAATACCTCTTAATATTTTGACCACTTAGCTGAGGTTTAAAGGGACAGGTAAAGAGTTCAAAAATACCAGAGAATGCTATTTTAAAATCTTTTTAATCCTTTTCATAAATGCCAGTTCAGTGTTTTTGACTAAGATTTTCTCCTTTCAATTTCTTATAAACATTAGGTGCATCTTGGAAAATCACTCAAACAATCAATATAAAAGTATGTACTGGTGACTTAGCTAAGTTAGTAAAAACATAAAAAGAAATAAAAACTATTTAGAAATATTTCTAATTTCTTCTGTGTTTGGACAAAACTATACATACAGAAAATACAGTTTAAAATTGAAAAATATTGCAATGTCAACACTCACAGGAAAAGTAGGATGCCGGTGTTTGCCAGGGCAAAGGCGAGTCCCAAAATCCCACTGCCCATAATGGCGTTGCTTAAGTTGAAAACTGACATGCCTAAGGAGGTTGTTCCTGGAATCTGGATAGAGACAAACATTCACACTAAGCGAAACAGTCCCCAAATCCGTTCATCACACCAAAGCCTTTAGAGCACTATTAGGAACCAACACAAATTAAATTCAAGAAATCCTTCCATAGTGGTCTAGTTATTTTTTTAAAGGATTTTCAGAGACAATACATAGGATCTGAGGAATATCTTGGTGAATATAGATAGTTGCCTTTGGTACTATGCTGCATGAATTAAAAACAACTGTCACAATTTACGTGGTTAAAAATATAAGCATACTTATCATAATGACACTTACGTATTCATCACATTTCTTTTTTTCCAAATGGCTGTTTGTGAGACTTCTTCTACTTTCACGATCAGAAATAAATTTGCTGTAAAGACATGTATAATACATTTAGCTTCATGGTAATGATTTGAAGTTTAATATTACATCTAAGTGATTATTACTTACAAAAACATACACACATGAAAAGTTACCAATTTAACTTCAAAATATTTTAATACTAATAAATTAAAACACTATATGCAACGTATGTTAACTTTTATGTAGATTTTTCTCTAACTAAAAATTAGATGTCAAAAATACTATAAAGCTGTGATGTAAAAGAATACTAGAGGCAGGATTCCTTTTGAGCTCACCCTCCTAGAGTACACAGTCATTAATCAGGAATTCTATCTCCCCTGCAAAAAAGGAAACAACTCTTTTCCCATCAAATATTCCTTCAGCACCAGTTATATGCATGTCACTAGACAAAGTGATTAGGGAGGCATGAGGGTATGTAAGAGAAGATGTAGGCACTAAGCTACAGGAGTTCAGGAGAGGAAATTGTGGTGACGGAAGGCAGGGCATTAGTCCATGGGGCAGAGCTAGGGCTTTAAGAAAAGCATGGGATTTTGAACGTGAGTTCTAATCCTTACTAGCTATGAGGGCCAGGGTATGCCACCTCAGTTTCCTCTGTGAAATTAGAGTAACACTATTATATTATTTCATGGTGTTACTGGGAAAATTAAATGATCAGTACAGCTCCAGGCACAGAGTAAGAGCAACAGACGTTAATCACTCCTCCAGAGGAGTGGGACTTGAGACAGGCTAAGTGGAATAAACGATCTGCAAATACACAGAAGGAATTCAGAATGCTCTAGGGATCATATCCAGAATTAACATCAGAAAATTATGGCCTAAATTTCTAATTTTTAAAAAATCCACTATTAAAAAATAAGTCCACTCATTGACAAATTGTTGCATACACTAGTAAAACATGTTAGGTAAATAAGCTTCTTAGGTCTTCTTCTGGAAATTTAATTATCTGGTCTTAGTAAGAACTAATTGTGGTAGGTTTTTTACTAATAAATGTAAAGCCACTTGAACTGAACTATTTTAAAGAAGCATACATCTTTAAATTGTACATTATATTGTCATATGCTTTTTTGAACAATGCTATATCTCACAATAAACCATTTTTAATGAAAAACATACATCATTAATGTTGGCTTTATTCACCTATCTTTTTCACTTTTAATCCAAGGGGGTCTAGCTTCTCCCTGGCATTACTTCTCCAAGTTTGCATCATTTTGTCAAGATATATCAGACAGGCAATATACATACTACATACTTCCTCTGAGATCATCACCTGGAATAAGCAGCACAATCTGCAGTTTATTCCCTTCTGCATCTGCCTTTGCCTAGGACCTGGTCAGTTACTAAGAGAGATCAATCAGAAGGTGAAGAAAACCTTGGTCTGAAAAAGGAGCAAGCACACCAGCTAACACCAAAATAGGAATGTCAGGCTGTGCAAAATTGAGATGAGATAAGGAATCCAGAGAAGGAAGAACCATTATTGGGAGGGATTAACCAGAGGAAACTTAAAGCCAGAGGCCTGAGAAACAGTATTACAGGAAAACAACATAATGAAAGCAGTATCTTTGGAGACGAATCTGGCACTTGTACAGTGTTTGGCCCTTCTTTTGCCCTTCACATTTTAAATCTTTCCACAGAATTGAGGAATACAGATCTGGCTAGAGAGGCACACGGCAACACAGCCTTCCTTTTCACACAGGCAGCCCAAGGGAACATGGGTGCTGGACTTACCAAAATGAAATTGATTTCCAAAATAAAATTGCCAGTAAATAAAAGACTGTATCTAAGCAGGCTAATTTTAATAATCAACTCACATCTATCAACTCTTTATCCAGAAGGTCCCCGATTTGCCTTTCTTGTGGAGGGACTTCTGTTCCAAAGAGAATTTTCATTATTTTTATATAAAGGGAAAAGCCTGCACATTTTCAAACAAACTGAACAAAACGCCAACAAACTACCTGTGGCAGATGGAAGTTCCCTGGCCTGGCCACATTCACCAGAATTGGTGGCAGAGGACTAGTGGGCAGAGAAGAAAGGGATACAGACAGGCATTGTAACACAAGAGCTACTCAGTCGAGTCAAACACTGCGCAACGCAGGAGGATGAAGGATGAGGCCCCTGCACGACTGCCAGGGCTTTGCTGCAGAGCTTTTGCAGGATGAGGATGATCAAACCGACTTACGGAGCTGCTGGAATGAATAACCACTAAAACGCATTGCGTGTCAAGTTCCTCCCTGATTCTGCCTCTTCTGGTGCACTTTCTGCAGCAAGACTTTAACAGGTTTTCCCAAAAATCTTCGCTGGCTCAGCCACTGAAAAGTTTCAAGTATAAATTTCTCACCCTGCAATTCCAGATACTGCTGAATTTTATTTTGCCTCAGTGGCCCAAACTCAGCTCCCCCTGCTTCTCAAAATGATCTTCCCAAGAGGGGGTGATGACCTGAGACAAGATCATAGCACTTTGAGAGTAGAGACGGAAAAACAAAGCAGTACTGGGAATCCACTCTCCGCCCAGGAGACCCTCTATCCTCTCGCCAGTGCCTCCCTGCCCACTCAAACCTCCTTCTTCCACGAGTCTTCTGGCACGCTGGTTTGAACTGAGTTTTCTGACTCTGTGCTACTGAACTCATCTGGCATCCAGACTGGCTGTATAGTTCTCTCAGTCCCTCAGCTCCTTCTTAAATGTATCTGCCCAAGTGTTAGCAACTCAGAGGAACCCTTCATAAAACCGATAATGCATCTTCTATCTGGGAATTAGGGAGTAGCTCAAGCTGCAGGGAAATCGAGTTTAATAAGAATGAAGAACTTAAAGAAATCCTCTTTGGTCTCTTTATGACATTTCAATTTTTTCTTTAGTCTTTAAATCTTTGCATTGTATTTCTGTAAACTTCTTTTTTTAAACAAAATAAAACCAATCTTTTCAGTAATGGAAAAGTCCATTCAAAATAACTAGGTTAAGCAGCTCATCACAAGTGTCTGTTATCTTACCATTTGAAAAATGCAATAGTGTGTTAAAAAGCACTGACCTCTGGCAAAGAAGTTGAGTTAAAATTTTCTTTATTCAATGAAAAATGGGCTATGGGAGACGGTGCCTTTGGCATGTGGTCTCGGGATGATAAAAGTATTATTTAAAAAGAGTTTTTACTGGATCAGTCTGTACCCAGAAAGGAGGATTCAATCAACAGTTAGGTTGCCAGTTGTTCTGAGAACAAAACCAAACAAAACATTACAGTGGCTGTCATGGTGACCTTTAATAGACAAAGCCTTAAAAAGGAGCAGGCGTTAGATTGAGGTAGTGCGACAAGAGGCTGAGCAATGTAGAGCAGCTGTTGAAAAACAAAAATAAATCAACATTAACAATAATTGAACAAGGATCAGTTGTGCAATAGAAAAATAATCTTCCTACTGTAATCCCTATCAATCAGACTCTTACTAGATTATAGTGTTTCATTTGAAGATTCATAACACAAAAGAGAGAAATGAACTTAGATGACCTTTCCCAGTTTGTTCACTGAAATTCTAACATTCTATAAAAGAGGAAAAGCGAATAGGAGGAAAGAAACTGGAGAACATGAAAAAATTAAGCAGCAGGCATTTAAAGAGTAGACTGAGAGGTAAGCGAGGCCTTACTTGGTGAATAAACTCTACTGAAAATAGGAGAAATCCAGACTTTAATTGTAGCAGGAGCTATTAAAGCAAAGAAAGAATTTTCTAATGTAAAAACCGAATATAGGAAGAAGTGATAGAATCTTCTTAACATATAAAAAGATTATTAGAAGAAAAGGGATGACTTTTCAAGATCCTCCCAAGTGATATAAATTTAGTACATAAACTCTGAAGGATATGCAGTAACAAACAGACAAACAAACAAAAAAACAGGGGCTGATGCAGGGTGTAGTGACAAGAGTTGCTCCAAATTCTTTTCAGAAAAATTTTAATGAGGGACTCTCAAACTTTGTTAGATGCTTCCTGGGTCATGACAACAATAACTATGCATAGAGATGAGAACAGTAAATAAATATTAAAATATGTGACTATTTGCTAGGAGACAGCTAGGAGAATGTACTAATATTCTGACAGCTTTAAAGTAACAACAGTCAGCAATCATCCAAAACCTAAAGCAATGTTATTATTCCTTGGGGTAGACAAGAAAGAAGTGCTAGCCAAAGAAAGAGGATGCACTTTTATTGATAAAGACTCATCTTATACTAAAAGGCTTATTATTGCCAGACACTGTGCCAAGTACTTTGCACGATCTTCTCATCTATTTTTGCAATTGCATGGGGTTGGTACTATTATTAGCTCCATTTTATAGAAATTAAAGTGACTTGATCAAAGTAATACCGCTAATAACTAAACCACTGAGCCGGGACTTTAACCTAAGCTGGCTGATTGCAGAGCCTACAAGTAGTGTTACATTTAATGCTCCCCAACACTCCCATGAAGTAACTACTATTACTGTTCCTGTCTTGCAGGCACGGAACTGAAACTCAAAGAACAAAGTCACACAAGACCCATTGATAGAGCCAGGCGTCAATACAAGTCTAAATTCAAACCTGCTCTCCCTCTCTTCTTTGTCTGTCTCTGTTTTCCTCTCATTTAACACATATTTTTGCAATGTCCTTTCTGTGTCAGCACTATTATCTATCATTTCAAAGTACGAGAGATATAATCCTTCTCTCCAGAAGCTCACATCTAGAAGAAGAGTCTAAAGCTTGCTACTCAAAGTGTGATTTATGGAGCAGCAGTATGACCATTACCTGGAGGCTTGGGAGAAATTCGAATCCCAGGCTCTATCCCAGACTTACTGAATCAGAATTTGCACTTTAACATGGTTTCTGAATGTTTCATATGCTCATTAAAATGGGAGCAGAACTGGTCTAGCATTTTCAAAGGGCATTTTCAAAGGTTTGCTGTCCCAGGTATAGATTTCTATGACTATAACCCAAAAATTAGGGCATAAAATAAAACTGAACTGGAATAAAGGCAGGTGTCCTAATGCCCGAATGGCTCTACTCTATTTTTTTACCTAAACTTAAAAAAATGATTCTTACTGACTCCTACTGGGGAGTTTCCAGGCAAAGCTATTAGCTAGATGGCCAGGTTATCAGAGATCACCATTTGTTTTTAACATTTTTTCTAGTTCCTAAAAAAAAAAACTGTCACATGAAAGTTCACTGTTTGGGGGGATGGTTCTCTTACATGCATATCATTGGGCCTGCTTTCCTCCCATCAATGTAAAAAAGTTGCAAAAAGAATGAGAGGTATTTAAGTGTAGCTTTTGCAGCAATCATGGTGGGGGTTTTTTTCTGATTTTAGTTACCTTTTTGGCTTCATGACATAATATGTTGCTTTTAATTTTACTTGTCCTAGAGCCAAAAATAAAGTGAAGTTCATTAACTGTGTTGGTGAAAAGGGAGAGATAAGATAAAAGAAGAAATAAATGCATCACACTTTATTTTTGGTAATGGAACCAAATTCTGTGAAACAAATGGTCAACACCCAACAGCAAAGCCACTGTACCAGCTCACTGCCTTAGTCATAGTCTAGAGGGAAGTGAGCTCGCTCACTGGGCTTGCCTATATGGCTGAGTCAGGGGCGAGAAGGGTTGCTTCCATCTACTGCAGGTGGTATCCACTTCAAAAATTTAATATTTTTAGTAAGTAAAACTTTTAAAGATCAAGTTCAGATTCTAAACGGAATATTATAAATGACTTTCATTTTAAGGTCTTCAAGGTTTGCATTGCTTTAGGAATGAAGCTCCATTATAACACCAAAGTGTCCTGCTTGTGAAATGGCTGGAATCCCGTGCACGGTTAAGTGGAGGTCAGCAGTGACTACAGAACACTCCAGGAGTACAGAGCATAAAGTAGCACTGGTAGAATTTAACAGAACCAGTAAACTCTGTCTTTTTCACCAATGCCTGAGCATTATAATCAGAGGCAGCAAGATGGAGTAGAAAGACATGGATTTCACAGGGACCTTTGTATGCCCTTGAGCAAGTTTTTTTATTCCTCTGAGGCTGTTTCCTTACTAGTAAACCAAAATTTTAAATTTTCCTCATTTGAAAAAGAACACTTTGCATGATGTTATAAGGATAAGTGGCAATATATATAAACACAGCTGGCAGTTAAGAAATATAAGTTATTACTAATAAGCACTCAGAAAAGGTAAAAGAAGTAAACTTGAGTCCAAAAAGAAGAAATATCACAACAGAGTAAACGATACTTGAACTATGAGGAAGTATCTGGTTGGAGATATAACCTCTAAGAACATTTAAGGAAGAGAAGAGGGAGGAGAGGCAGGGCAGAAATTTCTGAGTGTATGTCAATGATGGCAGCTAAGTCCTAGCCTGGACTTCCATTTATTTATGTATACACTTTATCAGAATATAGAAAAGACTATCAGAAATTATTTCTACGAAGATGCCTGGTTAAGTGGTAAAATGTTTTCATCTTCCTCTGCCCCCATTTGCTTTTGACAACCCTCCCACCCCAAAAAGTGTAGCATCACTACTTTTCTAATAAGTAGCCCTGTATCCTTCCTCCTTTCTCCTCTACAGGCCTTTTAGGAGGCTTTGTGCTTCAAATAAGCCACACCACTAACTCCCAAGCTGCAGCCTTTCCTGTTAAGGGATCCACAAAAGCTGGCTACAAAATCAGTAGGTCAAAGAACGCCCCACATCAGTGAAAAAAGTAAATAAAGACATCTGACTCTACTCTTGTAACATAAGAAACACAGAACCCAAGAGTTGGAAAGACATGCTGAGGCCAAAAGCTTCCGGGCCAGCCCACCTGCCTCTCTACTTCCTCTCACTCATGGTATCTTTTCTTTTCTGTCTGTTTCACTTACTATTTCTCTACTATAGTTTCTCATAGAGCTATTTGGGCTCAACTATAGTTATTATTATTTAAAATCCACGTTGCAAATGGTGCTCATAATGATGTCTTTGTAGCTTTAACATGAGAACATTAGCAAAAGTGACTTGGACCATTTCTTAATTAAAATGTGAGTGAGGTCAGATGACTGTGGTATACATTTAGATATGGTATGAAGCGAAATTCCAATAGTTTAATTCATAAGCACAGCGCTTTTGAAAAGTTAGGGCTGGCTGGGGACCAATATATTTACACACTTTTATTAGACTCAATTGAAAGATTTGAAAGAATGAATAAATTACTTTTCTGTTTGCTTCATCTGCTATTGCAGGCTATACTCAACGGATGTCACATAAGAGATTCAAACTGCATTTTCAAATGGAGCATAACTTCAGTAATGAATAATTCAAGAGAATAACTGAAAATCAGAATATTTTAGAGACGTTTCTTTTGTTAGGTTAAAAAAAATACTCACCTATTTATTTGACCATTTTCTACTTCAGTGAAATCATTGGAGTCATTGCTAATATTATCATCTTCGGGAACCGTCATGTTTTGTAACTCAGTTAATTCGAGTCCGCTTTTGAAATGCATCATGTTTAGAAAGTCCCTGTAGTCAAAAAATTTTTCCAAATTCTCCTGTTCTGAGCGTATTTACAAGTGGATAGCAGCAAAAATATAAGCTTGATACCCCTAAAATGCAACACAATAAAAAAGTTAAACTTATGAATACATCTGCTGATTAAAAATAGTTTAAGTGACCAAATAGTGAATTCACTGATAATGCAACATCTACATTTTGCTATTCAATACATTAAAAGCAATCTTTGTACATCAAGTTATAAAGGCTCTAAATTGTATGCCTGTAATTAATCTCCCTCCATTTTTAACTATAAAATGAGTCATGTCCACCCTGACCAGTGTCGTTCAGTGGGCTGGGTGTCATCCCACAAAGCAAAAGGTTGCTGGTTCAATTCCAGTAAGGGCACATGCCTGGTTTTTGGGTTCTGTCCTTGGCTGGGATGCATGCAAGCGGCAACCAATTGATGGTTTCCTCCCACATGGATGTTTCTCACCTCTTTTTCTCCCTCTCTCCCCCTCTCTCTAAAGTAAATAAAATCTTTTAAAAAAATAAGTCATGTCCTATAATCTTTATGATCACATTTTATAGGAATACCATATCAGTGGCAAGCAATATAGACACCCTTGTATAAAACACTGTGTTTAAAATGAAAACAAGTTGATTACTTTAATGTGTTAGCTCATAGGACACACATACAGCTGCCTGCAGACCACAGAGCCACAAAAGCACCTCTGATCTAACCATCCTAGTTGAAAATGAAAATCTGCCATAAATGGCATCATGAAGGATCAACCACCCAACCCAGAGTCCAAGAAGCAAAGGACAAATCTGTGTTTTGAAATTTAGCAAAGAGTTTGTCCATCAACTGCAAGAGATTAAATCAATCTCATCAATGAAATCACTCTATGTCAGGGAATTAGAGAATTAGAAATTTGTGCTCAGGGGATTTAGGTTAATCCATCTAAAACTGTATTTCCTCATCAGAGAAAAACAACTTGCAGAGTTCATGTTTTTCCCCCATGCAGATGACTGCGATTTAAATTTCTGAGGGGGTCAGCAGTAGTATAAAAGGAGGGGAACAAGTTTCAGCCATACAACATCACACACCAAAAAGCAAATGACAAGAGTGGTGAATGCAATTTCAAAAGTAAAGCCTCCGTATGTGCAGGAGCTTTATGAGGAGAATCTCCCCGTGGATGTACATGGTGATGAGGACCATGGAATGAAGCAGAATGTCAATGAGATTTTTTTTTTCACCTCCAATAGTACTTAGATGATATTGTGATATTTTTTTCTGATCCTGAATTCCATTAAGATGCCTGTAACCTAGTTTAGAGTCAAAACACCCATCTGATGTGCCCATTTGAGATTCCTAGTATATGTCAGGAAGCATTTTGCTAGTTGATAATATTTTCAGGACTCATAGAAAGTACCCTAGAATGATACTTTTTGCAGAATTTTCTTCTCTTTCTCTCCACAGCCAGGCCACATGTTATTCCTTTTTATTCACACAGTCTCCTATCTAAACTGAAACCTCCCGGGTTCCAGGATCCTTTACAACTTCCACAACACAAATACCTTCTAATGCCTCAGGTTCCAGGAGCATCACCCTTCCTGCAGGGCAGAGCCCCTCCTGGGAAGCAGGGAGCCAAGACAGGGAGATGTGAGCTCCATGAATGCCTGGTCTAAGGCCAACCTGGCAGCTCAAGGCTGGCTCTTCTGGCCAGGGTGGTAGTTCTGGAGATGGGCCATCTCTAATTGCTTTTAGTGCCTTCATACAGTAGTAATGTTTACACCCTGTCTTTACTTTGCAAAAATTGAAATGCATTAAAACAGTTGCACACCACCTTATCCCTTGGCCCCCCCACCCCAAGGAAAGCTGCACAAAAGGACTAGATGGGGCCATTTCCCAGAGCCTTGACACACTGGCTCTCTCCTGCATGGCTTCCTCAGAGGCTATGGAAACGATACTACAGGGCCGGGAGAAAGTTGATTCAGGGGATGGTGTTTCCAATCTGGATTAAGGAGTCCTTCACTTTCCATAAACTGGAAGGAAATACGGCAGTAGACCAAAGCTTTCTGAGGAGAGGAAAGATTGACTAACAATAGATTGGGAGTCTAGTCTTTGAATTTAAACTTTCATATCAATATATGTATGTGTTTACACAAATAACATACACATATATAAACATATATACATAAAACTAGTCATTTAAAAAATGGACAGAAGGGAAAAGGATAAAAAGAACACAGTAAGTCCTGGCCACCAAAATTATGTCAGTATGGGGCAAAGGCCAGTCCTGAGTTAATCACGTAGAATTTTTTTCCCCCTTTGGCTTAAAGAAAAAATTCTTTTTCACAGTTCTGGAAGCTAGAAGTCCAAGATCAAGTCCAAGCTTCCTTCTGAGGGCCCTCTCTTTGGCTAACAGAGAGATGCCTCCGCACTGTGTCCTCACATGGACTGTCCTCTGTCCATGGGTTATGTCCTAATCTTCTTATTTATTTATTTGTAGTATTATTATTTTTTAATCCTCACCTGAGGACATTTGTTTCATTGCTTTTAGAGAAAGAGGAAGCCGGGGGGGGGGGGGAGAGAACTATCAACTTGGTTACCTCCTGGTATATACCCAAACCAGAAATCGAATCCCACTGGGAACTGAACCCGCGACCTTTTGGTCTACGGGACGACACTCCAACCAACTGAGCCACACTGGCCAGGGATTCTTTTTATTTTTTAGAATAAATTTTAATTGTTAAGAAAACACCTATCTGAAACCTAACTTACTCTTAAAAATGAAAGCTGGAACATAGAAAAAAATTAACAAAGTTAGTGACACATGGTACTAAGGCTGAGGACACACTTAGAAAACAATATCCATTCAATTTATACATTTACTGAGTGCTAGGTGCGAAGGGATGTAAAAAGTTTGGAAAAAGTCAAATTCAGTATCTGAAGCAGCATCATAGAATAGCCACATTTGGACTGGCTCTTGAAAAAGAAAAAAGAATTTTCTGATTCTAAAACTAAAACAGACTCACGGTAGAATCTTTAGAACAGACATTGTAAAAGAAATTTCAACACCCAAATATCGCTTGTTAGATTTTCATGTCTTCCCTTTTTTCTTCCTTTTCTTTTTTCTTTTTTCTCTTTCTTCTTCTCTAGTTTCCCTTCTCCTCTTTCTCTATTCCATTTATGAGTAGGATCTTAGACTGCTCTAACCTACCTTTTTTATGTAGCACTACACTGTAAGCATTTTGAAGTGTTTTTTTTAAAAATCTTTAGTCCCTTATTAATAAATACTGTGGGTTTTTGTAGAAAAATTATAAAATACAAGTTTGCAAACAAAGGAACAAGTAAAAAGAAAAAAAATCACCTGTTATCTCAGCAAGCAGAGACAATCACTGTATGTATATATTGGAGTATGACCTTCCAGGGTTTTTGTATGCACATAGGTATAGAGCTGGTACACAGTAGGCACTCAATAAATATCTGTTAAATGAAAAGAATGAGTATAAATTTAAAACATGTGTACATTTCCCAAAAATGGAAATCATACCATAGAGGTTTTTTATTATATTTTACTGTTTACGCTATTACAGTTGTTCCAATTTTTCCCCCTTTGCCCACCTCCACCCTGCCCCCTGCTCCACTCCCTCAAGCAGTCCCCACACCATTGTCTGTGTCCATGGGTCATGCATACATGTTCTTTGGCTAATCCCTTCACCTTATTTTACCCTGTCCCCTTTTCCCCTCTCCCCTCTGATAGCTGTCAATCTGTTCTATGTTTCCATGCCTCTGGTTCTATTTTGCTCATTAGTTTATTTTGTTCATTAGATTCCACCTCTATGTAAGATCATATGGTATCTGTCTTTCACTGACTGGCTTATTTCACTTAGCACAATAGTCTCCAGATCCATCGATGCTGTTGCAAGAGATAAGAGTTCTTAGTATTCCACTGTGTAAATGTACAACAGTTTTTTTAATCTATTCATCTGTTGATGGGCACTTGGGTTATTTCCAGATCTTGGCTATTGTACATAATGCTGCTATGAACACAGGGGTGCACATATTCCTTTGAATTAGTGTTTCAGGATTCTTAGGATATACTCACACCAAACATATTTTTCACTTAACAAGATATGGTCTCCTATACTAAGTTATGCCAGTATACACAGGTCTATACAATTACTCCCAATGACTGCTTAACTGCTTGACTGTGCCATAAATTGATATCCAACCTATTACTACTGGTAATAGTAGTCACACTGCTTGGTGAACATGAGACTGATAGGCAGAAATGAGGCCTGAGCTGAGGCTTCTCAGTGAGGAGAAAACATAATCAACAGTACAGAAACAAGAGGTGCAGGTGGAGTTCAAGAAACAGAGAATTATAGTTTCACTGAAAGATTGAAGCAATTATCAGACTATACAATTAATTAAAAAGCCGAATGGGGTCATCATGTGAAGATCTTGATGTTAACACAATCATAATTACTATCTCACAACGTTTATATTAGGTTACAAATTACAGTTTACTCATCACAGAGCCTTTCTGATCCTTTACTGCACCGTTATGTCAATATGCTTATTGGCACGTTTTATCAATAGTACCAATGTAAAATACATAAACTTATTTTCTGCTCTTCATGGTGTCAGGTAGCAAAGGAAAGGATATGCAGACAAACTTGTCTGGTTTTACATTGCTCAGAACCTATTTAAACAAGCAAGATCACCCCACATTAAGTGACAATATACTATAAACCATTTGCATGATAGAACCAAAGTATGTGGCAGAACAGCAGTAGTCTTCCTAATCAAGACAAGAGGGCATTCATTGACCTCCACCAACTTGCTCCTCACTGCACCCTCCTAAATGCTCCTTCTTGGCCTCCTTCGCCAGCTCCCTTCCTCCTCCCCGTCTTAGGGAAGGGGTGGCTCTCCTGCCCTCCACCCGTCCCTCCAAGCACTCCAAATTCTTCCCTTTTTACAGTTTCAGGCGTGTAGTGTCCTGTTCGCCATCCAGGGCATCTTTCAGATTTTCCCCCCAGGTATTTTCATTTCATAAAACTAGAATTCCTTTGGAGTATGAAATAGGATTTCCCTCATAAATACTACTTGATAATAATCCTGTCACTTAATATGCCACATGTTTCTTCCTCTATACACTGAGAAGGCTGGAGGGAGATGATCTCTCAGGTTCCTTCCTGCTCAGAAAAATTTCCACACTTACTTTCTAGACTAGAGCTGCCCTCTGGACTTCCCCACGTGGATGTCTGCCATTACCTCAAACTCCACGTGCCTAACTGGGAACATCGCCTGACCTCACACATCAGCTTTTCTATTTTGGTTAAAGATAATGTTCATTCTCCTCATCACTTAGACTTGGAATCCAGCCGGCTATCACTACAATGTTACCTCATATCTAATCAGCCACCATGTCCTGTCAACATTCTTTCATGGTGTCCTTTCCCTTACTCTCATTCCTTTCAGCTCCACAATCCTGACTTTGCCCATTGCTTTCCGCCATACTACCTGCTGATCCTTCCCCTCTCTCATTTACAGGTACAGACTCTTCCTTAAATATGTCTTGCACATTCCTCTTCCCTCCCTGCCAATGATAATTGCTGCTAATGCCTACAGGATAAAGTCCAATCTCTGGAACCTCAAATTCAAAGACCAGGATGCTCGTAATTATCTCTTTAATTTTTCTCTCCCATGACTTTCTTTCTGAACCTTCCATTTATACAATGGATCTACTCTTACGCAGTTTTCTGCTTTATTCACATTTTTCTCTTGGCCCTGAACATAATCCCCCCCATCAAGCCCATGCCTACACTTCTTTCAAAGCCCGGCTTGCTTGCTTGCATGCTTTTTTTATTTTTCAATTTCAAACCAAACCTCTCTGTGATGTCTTTCTCCAATGACCAACCTGTGTCTGAGTATATACCTCTGATGAAGCATTACATTAAAGCAGTGGTTCTAAACCATGGACAATTTCGCCCCCCGCCGCCCCCGCATCCTTTGGTTGGCATTTGGCAATGACTGGAGGCATTTTTGGTCCTCATAACTGAGGGGATGCTGCCAACTTCTAGTGGAAAGAAGTCAGGGATGCTGCTAAACATACAGTGCACAGAACAGCTGTCCACAAGACAGAGTGATCCAGCCCGAAAGAGTTATCAGTAGTGCTGAGGGGGAGAAGCCCTGTGTTAAAAGAAGCTCACTAGAGGATGAGGATGAGTATTAACCACCTCTGTTTGGGCCAGGGAGATGACCTGCTCACTTCCTTGGACAGACTGTCCCTTTGCATACTACCTTGTTCATCGTATCTGGACACCAGCTCCTACAGCTCAATAATTCCTTTTCTGCTCAGGTGCCCATATGATTTTTTAAATATCTGTTATCAATATGCCCAGGCTATGATGTCTGGGAATTAACCTTCACATATTCAGATGTTTTCAAAGTATTTGTGATTTCTCTAAAACAAAAAATACTGATAAACTCCAGAAGTTAATGAATTCAAACCGTAACTTTGGATATAGGAGGATGGACTATGTATTATTTTTAATTGAGGCTTAATTTAATTAGAACAGTGAGTGTTTCTGACAAAAAAAAAACCTTTCTCATCAACTAAAAAATCACATATTTAAATAATTACTAAAAACTTAGTTGAAAACAGCCTGGAATAGTTCAATCTTTGAGAAAATTATTTTTCTTTGCACATGAATGTTTTTGCTCTAACAATATCTCTCATCAAGAATTGCTATCGAACTAAAAACAATTAATGGCAGTTTGTTGGTTTTTGAGTCTTGGCTGTGACAGTTAACTCCCCACAAAATATTCTGAAAAATGTAAAGAGGATCATTTATTTTAAAAAAAAAAACATTTAAAAATATGCCTTTATTTGAAAAGAGAAAACATATTATAATACAATAATAGGTGAAGCTGTAGTCTTTGAACAAGCCTTTTCCTTTTCTCTGGGCTTCTGCCTTCTCACCTGAATACAGGAAAGGCAGATTAACTGATACACTCTCAAAGATCTCCTCCAGTTCGAAAATCCTCTGAATTTATGATTCTATAGACTATTTCTTAGTGGATCTTAATTAGAAATAAAATTATGGGCTTGTGGACAAATCTTTTGAATAGCTGACTTAGATGAGTAGTCCTCAGTTCTGATGAGAAATAGGAACCACCTCAGGAGTTCTTAAAAAATAACAGTGGAGATTGAGTTGCATGGCTCTAGGGCAGGGGCGATTCTTTTCTCACATGGCCAAGCGGTGCACAGTGTTACCTTTACTGTGGCCAAATCTTGGTCTGTTTGGGCCTAATAAACTCTCCTGGTCTCATCTTGATGACTCTCTGAAAACCTGCCCCACTGCAAAGGTTTGTGGACACGTGGCTGGTGGCAGCTAAGCTTGGTTTACCCTGGGACTTTTGCTGAGTAGATTCAGACCCAGCACTGACAGTAAGTTTGATCCTGTGTCAATCTTGTTAACACCACTCACCCCTACCTGGGGACTCACTGAGAACCTACCTCATGCAACTTGAGTACTGCCAGAGGCTCTCTCAGTGACTGAGCCTATCAGTCGGCCAGCCAGCAGCTGGAGGCAGCTCTCAGGGTGCCTTGGGACTTTTGCTGACTTGCCCCTGGGGCTGATGCTGGTATAAGCTGTCCTTGGTGCACAGCTTTGTTCTTCCTGCACACACCCAGGCCCAGCAAAGACAGCCAAAAACTGTGGATTGCTTTGTACCTCCAGGTTGCCCAGAGCTCATAACAGGGAGCATCTGACATTGGTTTGCACCAGAGTCCCTCCCAAGAGGCTCCAGAACCAACACACCCAGTGGCCAGCTTTAGACAACACCCAGTCAGTTTCACAAGCAGCACATCCAGAGAGAGATCTTGGCAGGCACCAGGCCCTGTTGAGGTGAATTCCACTTCATGTGGTCAGTACCTACAGAGCAGCTCATACACTGTAGGCGAGGCTGATTCTCAGTCAGCCAGCCTGAGAGTCAATCTCAAACATGAATAGGCCAATAGCAACCAAGATTCAAGTACAACAGCAGGGGTTCATATAACCCACACAGGGATATTTCTGGAGTACCCAGAGCCAGTGATCAAGGAGGCTGTGCCACTGGGTCCCAAAAGACTTATGTACTGCATAAGGCCACTCTACCAACACTGGGAGTCATGGCAGATCTACCTAATACATAGAAACAAACACAAAGAAGCAGCCAAATTGAAGAGACAAAGAAACATGCCCCAAATGAAAGAGCCAGAGAAATCTCCAGAAAATGAGCTAACTGAAATGGATGTGAGCAATTTACCAGATACAGAGTTCAAAACAATGGTTATAAAGATGCTCAAGGAATTTAGAGGACTTCAACAAAGAGTTAGCGAGCATTAAAAAGGACACAGAAACCATAAAAAAGAACCAGTCAGAAATGAAGAATGCAATCCTGAAATGAAAACTAAAAGGTATAAACAGTAGGTT